GGGCTGACGGAAAGGCAGATTAAAATATGGTTTCAGAATCGACGAATGAAGTGGAAAAAAGAACAGAAAACTGGCGGCGCGCCGTCACCGAAACAGTTCGCATCGAGTCAGACACAGAACGCGATGCAGGTGAATGGCGACTCCAACGACGGCAGTAACGGGGAGATATCGTGATAGCACGGCGTAGATCCTAGAAAGGAAAAGGAAGCAGACTATCTCCAAATTAAAGAAGGCTCCTTTCGTCGAGTATTTATATTTTGCAACATAGAGAAGAAACAGAAAATTTGCGACGTCTAAGCTCAATATGTTGCGTTGTTAGAGGTATGCTGGACGCGCCATTTCCATTGCATCCTCCAGCCAAGACTTCCATGGCGTTTTTCGGAATGTCGTCTTCCTCAAGTTTGTTTTTTTTTACCCCGAAAACTCTTGGCTGCTCTCAACAGTCTGTTAGAAAACCTTTAAACTTTTTGCACCATGAACTGCTTATCAAATGTAAAGAACGATTGTGTGCTATTCAGGTACGATCAGACTGTTCAAATCCCTTAGACGTGTGTTATCCAGTAACTTAATAACCGCGCGGAACAGTTTAATCTGTGTTTTTCGCTGAAATCCAAACCATATCGGTATTAAATGTATATTTTTGACAGTTTTCGCTGTTTCAGCAGCAACTCCGATATATATAACATACTGTGTTCTTTTTTTCTATCACGTGGTGTGAACACCGGATGAATGTATATTTTGCAATTAATTGTTTATATTCTATTTTTGCTTTGTTTTCACAATTTATTTTATTGAAAGTAAAAAAAAAGAGAGAGAACAAATGACGTTGATTTCAGTAAAATCGAATCGACCTGTTTTGAACAATTTCGGGGGGATTATATATGTATAAATTTATGTCGACGTTAAAGCTGTAGATGACGTCACAACCAACTCTGTGTTCTATGATGTAAACTTCTTGTCCCAAAATTTAGAAACGCGCTTGTAAAGCTCTTAGTATCGTGAGATTTGTATTGTATATGCTGTGTAGGCAGATGACATCGCTTCAGAAGTTCGTAGAGCACATTTTAAAAACGCAGAGGGCAAGGAGTTGGTTAAGTTCAGTTTGATCTGTAACGTCTCTCGTTCTTTCTCGCGAGAGACACATGCATGATAGTGTTGACTGCACGTACCTTTTCGTATATCTAAAAAAAATAGACTACTTTACTTGGCGTTGCCATGCAAACTGAAAATAAAGTACAAGCTGTGAATTCTTCAATTTGACCTTGAAAATCAAGATCAGGGTCGTTTTTCAGACGATATCTGTTTAACATTTTCGTAATGTCTAATTCACCCGACCTGACCTCGTTGTTCTGTGGACGTGTTAGGCTTCGTTTTAAACTCCATGGCTGAATCATTCGGAGTAGTCGGATACGCCCGAGTTCTGTCTAATTCTCTCGGAGTTCGTCAGTTTTTCTTTGTTGTGACATTGTAAATTATTACACGTATTGTTTCCTGGTGTAAAATTGACCGTTATTACATGTATTATTGTGTAATAAAATTAATTGTGTACGCATATATTTTTTTCTCTCTGCATTTTGTGTATTTGTTTAAATTAACGTAAAGGCAATATTGCGTTAACGGTTAACTAGTTACACGGACACGTCTACTCTTTGATCCAGTCCTGTCACCAATTCTGCAGTTTGCTTTACATTAATTTCTAACCCTGCTATAATTTCGACCTTGTAACAATTATTGTCGATGTCATAATTATATGATTAATATGCTCTGAGTCACACCATGTAACCGAGTTATTTGTTCCAATGTTGACACGTCCTATTTTCAGTTCTTCAAATAAAACTGCTTCTGTCAAGCAGACACCCGATAAAGACAAACACAACGAGATTGTAGGCTCAGATACATACATCATATTTTCCAATCCACGGAAGGTTCAGTCGATTTTTACGTGTATAAACAGCAAGTGATCGCATTGTTTCTTTCTCGTCGTTACATTCGAATTCGTCGCCGCGACATGGTAAATGTTCGATGTTGATCCCCGTGCTGTATTGCCAGTAGGCAAAACGAATGGCTTTTAGATCTGTGCGCTGTCAGTCGATCGACCACATACACACCCATATTTGGCGTGTCTTAAAGTGTATGTTTCAGCGAGTTCATGCTGATTCTTGATTATAAATTGTGTTCCTTATTTTAGTTATTTTTATATACACCTTAATACGGCCAAATTACTCTAATATGCATTCATTGCGATTCCTCACAATAAATAGAAGGGTCCGTCCAAATCTCACGTTCTCGTGTGCGAATGGAAATGTTTGCTCTCAGACTGGTGTTCATTCTTTTACTGAGACAAAAAGGCATATCGTTTTAGTGTTACAAAATAGGTGGTTTAAATGATAATGTGTGTGGTTGTAATATAGATGATTTAAATACGAACACTTGGGCGGTCGAAATTCACCGTTCTGTCTATAGCCAGATATGTTTTCTGAAGAGTGGTTCAAAAACGCTATCAAAATCACAAATAGTATGAATAACGTAATGAACACCGATAAGAGCTTTCATACAGTGGAAATATAACTCATTAAAATGTGAAATTCTCTCATAATTCACGTTATTAATTTTAAATCACCAAGTCAACCATCG